GCCGAGGGACTGACAACCTCAAATTCTACGACTTTAAGGGTGATGGACTGATTACATCGTCTTCACATCTCTACTGTTCCTGCCTACTTTCTGTATTCGACTGAAGAAGCCTACTGTGTAGGCGAAACGTTTCGGAATAAAGTTGTCTAACTGTTGCATATGTGTCTTACCTAACAACCTGTCGGTATTGTATACCATTTTGATGTTCATCTTGTCAGACACTGCAACACGTGGCATCTTGGTACAGAAAACACCTTGGACAAGCTTTTCAAGTGAGAAGGGTTGGATCTGAGGGGGACATGACCTCTCAGTTGCCTCTCACTACTACTACTACTACTACTCCCCTGCACCTCTCCTTCCGACAGTATTTAAGTCTCCGCACTGTCGCTTGATCTTCAGATAGTTCCTGACTATGGAACTGAACTTCTCCAGGCCGAGGGACTGACAACCTCAAATTCTACGACTTTAAGGGTGATGGACTGATTACATCGTCTTCACATCTCTACTGTTCCTGCCTACTTTCTGTATTCGACTGAAGAAGCCTACTGTGTAGGCGAAACGTTTCGGAATAAAGTTGTCTAACTGTTGCATATGTGTCTTACCTAACAACTCATCGGGTCCCGGGGACTTATTTTGTTTCAGTTTGTCTATCTGTTTAATAACCATGTCCCTCGTGACAGTAATATTAGTTAACTTAAATTCATCAGCACAGATCCAATTCCCTAAATCAAGAGCCCCTCACCAACATCAAGGAACCTTCCTTGAGGGGATTTCTTGGGTAGAATAGTTTGTGGGTGAGTTGTGCAAAGGACCTATCCAAGTTGGGTCGGCGCGCGTCAGGTGTTTAACCGTTGTGGGATCTGATAGTGAGGTGCTGGCCAGACCCCTTATATAGCTTCCTTGGATGCTTTACTTTCATAGTTCCTTGATAATGTGAGTAGTCACGAAAGCGCTTGGAATTTCTCTATTCTTTCAGAGTGGTTGTTTTGCATATATATATATTATATATATTATATATATATATATATATATATATATATATATATATTATTATATATATATATTAAAATTATATATATATTATATATATATATATATATATATATATATAACAACCTGCTCCTGGTGTTACAATAAATTCTTGTAAGCCATTATACAGTTCTTAGACTGCATTCCAGAGTGCATAACAGCTTATTGATGTATACAGTGTGCATATATGGGGGAGAACTACCGCAACCACAGGATATGTACACTGTATGGTGGTCACCTATTGTATATGTGCTTAAATTGGGTCGCAGGTATCGATTCAGTAGCTTCTGGCCCGCTTGTGCATTGGCTTCTACTGGGGTCACACTCCTGGCTTCCGGGCCTTATTGTACCTATTCTTAATAGTTATTTATGTATTGATCTTGCCTCTACCACTCCATCCAGGTCATTCCACTTTCTAATTACCGTAAGGCCGAAGAAATACTTCCTTACATCCCTGTATTTCAATTTTCAGTGTATAAATACTGAATTTACTTTGTTTAGGGATTAGCTCATTCTTGAGTTTTAAGTCCACTTAACTAACTCGCGGTGTGTGGCTACCCAGATCTATATGAGTTACATGTGTGGCTGCACCATTAACACTCCTCCCAGCTCCTAGCAACACATGCTCAGCAGTCAACTGTCCTTGAGAGATAATCATGTAGAATGAGGAGGCAACTGTGGCAACACGACGACTGGCGGCCCCTCCTGGTGAGTGGGCGGGAGGTGAAATTTATCTGCGTTTTAGACTACAGGTGTAGTTTAGTATTTATGTATGTATATGAGTAGAGGAGGGGGATATGTATCTTGGAGATACATCATATTTCTTCTTCCCGAGCGGTGGTAAGATCTTTTTATAACGCAGCGGCGGCCTTGAGTTTACTCTCTTTGTTTCTGTATTGTTTGTTCTCGCTTTTCGTCTTTTATTTCAGTGACATCAGGTTTTTTTTAAGTGTGGGCCACGTACCAGAAAGCCATATGTTTGCAGGCCGTATCAGATGTTTATAATGGTGTTATTGAACTATAGCCTTGAAATTATTAAAAAAAATAGTATTACAAGAGACATTAAAAAAGTGTCAGCTTGATTAACACAAAAAAAGGAGAGTTATAAGCCTAGTACTAGTAGTGACTTAATAAATTTTGATCAAAGAGAATACTGGCCTAGTAGTTTATGCCTCTCAAGGGAGGTTCTAGTACATGATGATAATACCACAGTGTGCCAGCTCTCCAGCTTGCCTTTATCTCAAGTAGTTAACAATGGATCATTGTATCTATGCAAACATGCCATGTCATCTTGAATATTAACAATAACAACAATACTAATATTAATGGCAATAATAATATTATTACTTATTATTATTATTATTATTATTATTATTATTATTATTATTATTATTATTATTATTATTATTATTATTAATTATTATTATTATTAGACAAGCGTTAAACCCGTTTGGTTCACACAGCGCTGCACCTGAATAATATTAAATTTATATCAGTACATGGCAGGTGTCTGCCCTTCACTTGTGATATTTACATTGTTGGTAGACAATTAAATATTGAAAGAGAACGTAGAAACATATCAGAAGAGTAAATGAACTGTGTAAAAGCAATCCTATGTTGTAAACAAAAGCAAGCGTATGTTATAAACAAAAGCAATCCTATGTTGCAAACAAAAGCAAGCCTATGTTATAAACAAAAGCAATCCTATGTTGCAAACAAAAGCAAGCGTATGTTATAAACAAAAGCAATCCTATGTTGCAAACAAAAGCAAGCCTATGTTATAAACAAAAGCAATCCTATGTTGCAAACAAAAGCAAGCCTATGTTATAAACAAAAGCAATCCTATGTTGCAAACAAAAGCAAGCCTATGTTATAAACAAAAGCAAGCGTATGTTGCAAACAAAAAGCAAGCTTATGTTGCAAACAAAAAGTTTATGTTGCAAACAAAAGCATGCCTGTGTTGCAAACAAAAGAAAGATAATGTACACCGAGATATTACCTATATAGAACAGCAGCTAAAACATTCACAACAGACGAAGTAACGTAAAGGGAACAAAAATATATTCAGGAAATGGCAAAAAAATCCTAAAGATTTCTATATACACGCAAAATCTAAGTCAACCCCCATGTCTAGAATGTTCCCACTACTCCCAGGAGGTTCATAGACCAGACGGGAGAAGAAATGAGCGAGATTTTGAAAGCCCTATGTGTATCAGTGTTTAACAAGTCATTAAACTACAGGATAGTAGTGGATTCAGAGGTCATGAAGCTGCCACCATCTACCTCACCAACACCATATAACAATACAGAAGGATGTCCACTCTTTCTAGACTCATTGCACAGATAATCTTGGATCAAGATACCTTTGACATCCTCTCCTCTCGAATTCGCTTGACATGACCTGCTCCGGCGGCACTTAATCTGTCTTTGAGGTATATGCGCTGTCCCAGGAGCACCTGACATTTCCCAGCGGCACCTGAGGGTATTCCTGGAGGGTATTCCGGAGATCAACGCACCCGCGGCCCGGGCCATAACCAGGCCTCCCGGTGACTCAGGGGTTGATCAATTAGGCTGTTACTGTTGGCCGCATGTAGTCCAACGTACGAACCACAGCCCGGCTGATTCGCCACTGACTTTAGGTATCTGTCCAGCTCCCTCTTGAAGGCACCCAGGGGTCTATTGGCAGTGCCCCTTATGCCGGGTGGGAATCTGTTGAACAGTCTTGGGCCCCGGACATGTATTGTGTTTTCTCTTAGTGTACAAATGGCGCCCCTACTTTTCACTGGGGGTATTTTGCATCGCCTGCCAAGTCTTTTGCTTTCGTAGGGAGTGATTTGTGTGTGCAGATTAGGGACCAGTCCCTGTAGGATCATCCAGGTGTATTATTATTATTATTATTATTATTATTATTATTATTATTATTATTATTATTATTATTATTATTATTATTTATTATAATTACGGGGAAGCGCTAAACCAGTAGGATTATACGGCGCATGTCGGGGGGAGATGGAAGGTATTCAGGCTCAATTCAGGGAACCGCAGCACAGATCCAATTCCCTAGATCAAGAGCCCCTCACCAGCGTCAAGGAACGTCCATTGAGGGGTTTCCGGGTGTAGATTATGATGTATCTCTTTCGCCTGCGCTCCAGTGAGTACAAGAGCTTCCAAGCGTTCCTCTATCCCATTGAGTAAAGTCTCTTGTTAATTATTTTTTTCTGAGTCTTCTTACTACCATCTGTCAGCTCAGAGCTATTTGGTTGCATAATCAGACTTGATCCAAGGAAGAGGAAGGTATATCTAGTTTCCCATGACGTAGTGATTATGAATATTCTTCATTTTGATGTCCAGTGTTATGAGATAATTACGCTTATCCACGTATTGTATGCATGCTTCAGTCGTTTATTATTTTTTTTATCACACTGGCCGATTCCCACCAAGGCAGGGTGGCCCGAAAAAGAAAAACTTTCACCATCATTCACTCCATCACTGTCTTGCCAGAAGGGTGCTTTACACTACAGTTTTTAAACTGCAACATTAACACCCCTCCTTCAGTCGTGTCTTATAATAATGATACGTGACTGAAATAATACTATCGTGTATAACCCTGGCCATGAGAGGTACAATTGCACTCGGTAGATATTCACATGGTTTGCTTTTATTTTAGTTTTGGGCGGATTAAAATATTGTTGATTGGTGTTGTAAATGTGAGAAGCAGCTTTTATGACTGTCGATAGTCGTTAAACCTAACAAAGCACCTATAGAAGTTTTCTCATATAGATAAGCGTAGTCGAACAATGACAATTATATCTAATAATACCATCAAGAATTCTGCTGTTTCACCTTCATATTCGTCTACTTCTTCTAGTTGCAATTTATTTAAAAAAAATTAAATCTTGTTTCAGACAGCTGCTGAATTTATAATATTAAAGCAGATGAGAAGTGAAATATAAGATTAACAACCGATAATTATGAGTTATACTGAAGTTTTCGAGTGGTAAATATATTAGGGAGGGTTGCCAGAGATGTTAAGAGGGGTGGCACTGACACCAGCCAGCTGCCTCACTGCCACACACGTCATCTTCCTGCTAACATGGCACCAGTCTTTGGCTATTGGAAACTACGTGGGGTAAGATTATTCTTTATTATACTCCCTTCCGTATGTTTATATTTATCGTATATTGTTAACTGTACACTCAGTATATTAGGACATTGCTATGTAGTGATTCTCTGTTTTTTTTTTTTTTAAATGGGATGTAAATCCCAGGTGTGGTAAGGCAACTGATGCTTCACCAGTTACTGGTCGTCATCTGATGAAGACCCGTGACAGCACATACCATGTTTGTTGACGAATAAGTCACCACCACCATTGCAACCATGCACAGTTAGGATAATTTAGTACAAGGACCCCAGTGGAAATAAGTCACTCTGTCTGACTTTTTTGGGTTATCCTAGGTTCTTTACACATCTGCTGCTATGTATGATATATATGTAACTGTTTTTGTGTATACCTGAATAAACTTACTTAGTAGCTGCTGAGATAACGATATTTTTTTACTAACCAGTACATTATTATTTTAAATTTAAATATTTCACAAATATTTTTTTTACAAATGGTCTTTGACCACACCTCGACTGTACGTTGAGTTATTAAGGCCTCAGTTCACCCAAACAGAATAATTTAATCACCAAAAATAAATATTAAAACTATCTTAGTGTATATACACTGAGGTAGTATATGTTTCTCCTGTATATATCATACTGATTAAGGCGTATTTCTTTGACAGTATAGCACAGACCTAGCAGTAAGTTTGTCCCATGCTAATTTTATTCAGTAATGATAATTTATGTGCTTAACCAAATAATATTTTAAAATGCTATCATGGAGTTTCTCACACATGACCATTTCTAAATTTTTCCGAGGAAGCAATACACGACAGTCTACCAACACCAAGGTACCTATTTACTGCTAGGTGAACAGGGACAGCAGGTTTTAGGAGACTTGCCCATACGTCTTGATCTTGACAAGGGAGGGAAGCTGAGGGGGCGTATCCCTCTGCGTCCTAGATTATACTATAAGAAATTTCTGTCCCGCTTCCTGTACGTATATAATCACGAGCGTAATAACTCATCAACAATACTAGTGATATGAAAATAGCCTCTTGAGTAGATTATTATGATTATATTCACAGCATTGCGGAAAACCCGTAGAGACTATATAGCGCCTTAGGAATGGGAGGAAATTATGTTTGATCAGAGGAAGAGGAGAGTAGCCCAAAATCTTTTGATCAAGAACCCTTGGCCAGCATCAAGGCACCTTGGAGTCATGAGAGTACAGTTCCTGATCCATATGTCACATTATGCTGATGAACAAGCTTTTATTGGGACTTCCTCCGACTAGGATTTAGGACCCAAACGTCTCGTCATAGCTTTCAGTCGCCTGTGTGCGGGTTGTGTATACATATTGTGTGTGTGTGTGTGTGTGTGTGTGTGTGTGTGTGTGTGTGTGTGTGTGTGTGTGTGTGTGTGTGTGTGTGTGTGTGTGTGTGTGTGTGTGTACCTCCTGCACAATTAATGAAAGCTTGTTATGCAACGTGAGTCGTTGCTTCACACAAGTCTGGTTTCACTAACAATGTAACCACCTAACTGCTCGTGCTATAGTTGACCATCTTTAGTATTGTTGAATAAGCAAAGTGCTTTTGCAGTTATATTGATATACCTGGGGTGAAGGCAGACATAACCTTCAGTTAAAATACACACAGTATTGGACTCCAATTATTTTGAAAACAAAGACATAAGTTGCAGAACAGACATATTCTGCAACTTATGGCAGAACAGACATATTCTGCAACTTTTGGCAGAACAGACATATTCTGCAACTTATGGCAGAACAGACATATTCTGCAACTTTTGGCAGAACAGACATGTTCTGCAACTTTTGGCAGAACAGACATATTCTGCAACTTTTGGCAGAACAGGCATGTTCTGCAACTTTTGCAAGAACAGACATGTTCTGCAACTTTTGGCAGAACAGACATGTTCTGCAACTTATGGCAGAACAGACATATTCTGCAACTTATGGCAGAACAGACATATTCTGCAACTTATGGCAGAACAGACATATTCTGCAACTTATGGCAGAACAGACATATTCTGCAACTTTTGGCAGAACAGACATGTTCTGCAACTTTTGGCAGAACAGACATATTCTGCAACTTTTGGCAGAACAGGCATGTTCTGCAACTTTTGGCAGAACAGACATGTTCTGCAACTTTTGGCAGAACAGACATGTTCTGCAACTTTTGGCAGAACAGACATATTCTGCAACTTATGGCAGAACAGACATATTCTGCAACTTTTGGCAGAACAGACATATTCTGCAACTTTTGGCAGAACAGACATGTTCTGCAACTTTTGGCAGAACAGACATATTCTGCAACTTATGGCAGAACAGACATATTCTGCAACTTTTGGCAGAACAGACATATTCTGCAACTTTTGGCAGAACAGACATATTCTGCAACTTTTGGCAGAACAGACATATTCTGCAACTTATGGCAGAACAGACATATTCTGCAACTTATGGCAGAACAGACATTCTGCAACTTTTGGAAGAACAGACATATTCTGCAACTTTTGGCAGAACAGACATATTCTGCAACTTTTGGCAGAACAGACATGTTCTGCAACTTTTGGCAGAACAGACATATTCTGCAACTTTTGGCAGAACAGACATATTCTGCAACTTTTGGCAGAACGGACATATTCTGCAACTTTTGGCAGAACAGACATTCTGCAACCTGTCTGACTTCATGCCTGTGCAATGCGCCAGTCCACGCGGTAATTGGGCTTAAAGCCTGTCGATTATTCAAAAGGCTATTAAAACTGCATGTCATCTGTTCACTTAAAATCAAGAATACCTTAACCCCTAAAATAGGGATTATTTTTTTTTTTTTTTTTTTTTTATTCGCTGGTATTCTCCCGGCCCGGGTCTTTTCCAAGTAGTGGTGACCCGGCCTTGATTACAATAAACTCTCAGTGCATTTACACTAAGAGACCTACATTTCTCAGTCCATATATCCTATATGCAGTTTATATATATATATATATATATATATATATATATATATATATATATATATATATATATATATATATATATATATATATATATATATATATATAAATCATACATTATGGTCTAGGTAAGTGTAACACGTTCTAGTCATTAATAACTCCAGATTAATGACCATCCACACTTCTCTTCATTAATCTAAATTATAATTAAATTTAATGCAAAACCAAACTTGTAATAGATGACACAAACTTATGGGGTCATAGAGTATCAGTGTTTATTGCACTTTTATGTTTATAATATATTTTATATTTCAGTTGGGACAGTCCATCAGGCTGTTGCTGGAGTACCTCGGCACGGAGTACGAAGAAAAGTTCTATAACTTCGGTCCAGCTCCAGACTTTGACAGATCTGAGTGGCTCAACGAGAAGTTCAAACTGGGACTTGATTTACCCAATGTAAGTTTTGTTTTAATATTCTCTTACAGTGGATTGTTTATTGGGTTTATATATTAATAAAGTACACGAGGTTGCGTGTCACCTGTACACCACCAGTCAAGATTATTTTAAATCATTAAAACACGGATTACAATAAGCCTTAAGCTTATATGCGAGAAGATATACACACCTCGGTATATATATATATATAATATATATATATATAATATATAATATTATATATATATATATATATATATATATATATATATATATATATATATATATATATATATATATATATATATAATGTCGTGCCGAATATGTAAAACTGGTCAATTAGCAAGAACTCATTTTATTAAATTAAGTCCTTTCTAAAATTTTCTCTTATACGTTTTAAGATATATATTTTTCATTAATGTTAATGTGAAAATTTTTAATTTTGCACCAAAAGTATCTTAGAAAAGTTACCTAACCTTATTATAACAAGAGCAATTTATTTTAGCCTAACCCAACTAAATATATTTTAAATACGTTTACAATAATTTAGTACTAAACAAACACAATCAAATATATTTTTTTCGTTAGGTTCAGAATGATTTTGGCGAAATTATTGAATACACAAATTTTCACTTGTCCTATATGGCAAGATGAGCGTTGCTATTTAAGCCAAGATGGCAAGTTCTGCCTATTCGGCACGACATATATATATATATATATATATATATATATATATATATATATATATATATATATATATATATATATATATATATATATATATATGACCTAGGTAGTAGGTTGGTAGACAGCAACCACCCAGGGAGGTACTACCGTCCTGCCAAGTGAGTGTACAACGAAAACCTGTAATTGTTTTACATGATGGTAGGATTGCTGGTGTCTTTTGCCTGTCTCATACACATGCAAGATTTCAGGTATGTCTTGCTACTTCTACTTACACTTAGGTCACACTACACATACATGTACAAGCATATATATACACACCCCTCTGGGTTTTCTTCTATTTTCTTTCTAGTTCTTGTTCTTGTTTATTTCCTCTTATCTCCATGGGGAAGTGGAACAGAATTCTTCCTCCGTAAGCCATGCGTGTTGTAAGAGGCGACTAAAATGCCGGGAGCAAGGGGCTAGTAACTCCTTCTCCTGTATAAATTACTAAATTTAAAAGAGAAACTTTCGTTTTTCTTTTCGGGCCACCCTGCCTTGGTGGGATACGGCCGGTGTGTTGAAAGAAAGAAGAATATGTATATGACCTTGTTATATAACCTATCCACATTTTATCTATTTTTTTATACAAGTTTCTAATCTTGTGTTTGAATTCAAGTTAAGAATACTTATCAATTAAATATTCAAAGTTTTGTTATATAAATTAGTTTTTAGGGATTTAGGTTTTTCTGTAACTCGTCCGGTTTTAATATTTTTGGCAACTACAATTTTTTATATTCTGATCTTTTAGCCATAAATAACGTTGTTCGGACCATTATTATTATTATTATTATTATTATTAAAGGGCTCTTAGTTTGAACGTCTCTTCCAGACATTACATTGTGAACCTTGGTTACATTGTTACTTAGTGAACCTTGGTTATTGTTATATAGTGGACCTTGGTTACATAGTGCATAGCAGGACAGTTCATTCATCAGTGTTGTGGTAGTCAGGAGCTCCAAGGTTTTCATGGAATTAATAGATTTTTCTTATCATTAATCACTCCGGAACAGGAAGCCACTTCCCCTTCGTACATCCCCTTGACACACACACACAGTGAGGAGGCGGGGCCAGGAGCTATGACTCGACCCCTGCAACCACAACTAGGTGAGTACACACACACACACACACACACAGTGACGAGGCTGGGTCAGGAGTTATGAGTCGACCCCTGCAACCACAACTAGGTGAGTACACACACACACAGTGACGAGGCTGGGTCAGGAGCTATGAATCGACCCATGCAACCACAACTAGGTGGGTACACACACATCCCGGATAACCTCTGCAGCCAGTGCTCGCCTGGCAAATCTGAGTGTGGCCTTCAGGAATCTCATGTCCTTCCAGGCACTTTGTACAACATTTATTAGGCCCATCTTTGAGCACGCAGCACCAGTATGTATCCCACTCCTGGAGATAAGATAAGATAAGATTTCGTTCGGATTTTTAACCCTGGAGGGTTAGCCACCCAGGATAACCCAAGAAAGTCAGTGCGTCATCGAGGACTAACTTATTTCCATTGGGGTCCTTAATCTTGTCCCCCAGGATGCGACCCACACCAGTCGACTAACACCCAGGTACCTATTTGCTGCTAGGTGAACAGGACAACAGGTGTAAGGAAACGTGTCGAAATGTTTCCACCCGCCGGGAATCGAACCCGGGCCCTCCGTGTGTGAAGCGGGAGCTTTAGCCACCAGGCCACCGGACCACCCTATGTTAGAAACTGACGAAAGTGAAGAAATATGCAGTAAGGCTTGTTCTAGAGTTAAAGGGGTTTAAGCTCTAGTATCATGAGAGTCTAATGGAATTGAATTTATCGACGTTGGAGGATAGAAGAACCAGGGGAAATATAATAAAAGACTCAGGAAGATTGATAGGGTAGACAGGGACAGGCTGTCTGAAGCGAGAAACGGGACTCAGCTGGAAGTTAAAAACACATGAGCCACTGGGATGTCAGGAAGTATTTCCTCAGTCTCAGAGTGGTCGGAAAGTGGAATGACATATAATGGAGGCAGACTTTATACATAGCTTTAAAAGTAGGCATGATAAGACCGACTAGGGTAGGCGGGTGTAAATCTAGCAAACAGCAAGTTAAGAGGCGGGACCAGGAGCTACAACTTGACCCCTACAGGCACTATAGGTGAGTGCACACGCTCCCTCGTACTTTCAGGATGAAACCTAATCTCATAACTACTCAAACCAAAGTAAAATAATTAATGTGGTACAAAGATTTTCAACTAGACAGAGCCCCAGACCTGAGGGGTGTGTCCATTAAGGAGTGACTGAAGGAACTGAACTGGACAACTCTGAAAGAGGACGACTAGGAAGGACATGATTAAGATATACACGATTATTTCGGGGAATATACAGAGTAGATAATAATATATCAGACAGGCGAGTGGGTACCACTCACCCGTCTGCCCTTGTCATTCCCATTCTAGAGCTGGTTGAAGGACGGTCTGCTCTCTAGTGGCTTCTATTCTGCCTTGCTTACCGTGGAGTGCACTAATACCTATTGTTGTATATAGTGTACATAGTGTATATAGTGTATATACTTTTGTTCTAAATTGGTGAAGGATAATATAAGTCAAAAGTTTTTCTGCTGTGTTTATTTTGCTCCCTTTACACTCAAGTGTATATAATCATGTATCTCCCGTTCTAGGGAGTACAGGTTCAGGAACTTCAAACGCTCCCAGTAATTTCGGTGTTTTATCTCCGTTATGCGCGCCGTGAAGGTTCTCTGTACATTTTCTAGGTCAGCAATTTCACCTGCCTTGAAATGTGCTGTTAGTGTGCAATAATATTCTAGCCTAGATAGAACAAGAGACCTGAAGAGTGTCATCATGGGCTTGGCATCCCTAGTTTTGAAGGTTCTCATTATCCATTGTCATTTTTCTAGCAGATGCGATTGACACAATGTTGTGATCTTTGAAGGTGAGATCCTCTGACATTATCACTCCCAGGTCTTTTACATTAGTTTTCGCTCTATTGTGTGGTTGGAATTTGTTTTATACTCCCATATAATTGTAATTTCCTCTCGTTTTCTATATCGGAGTAATTGAAATTTCTCATCATTGATGTCCGCCTGGAGTCTTGCTGTGTCTCTAGGCGGACATCAACCAAATCTTTAAATGGGCCGCAGAAAACAATATGAAGTTCAATGATGAGAAATTTCAATTACTCTGATATGGAAAACGTGAGGAAATTAAAACTATATCGGAGTATAAAACAAATTCCAAGCACACAATTGAGCGAAAAACTAATGTAAAAGATCTGGGAGTGATAATGTCAGAGGATTTTACCTTCAAAGACCACAACATTGTGCCAATAGCATCTGCTAGAAAAATGACAAGATGGATAATGAGAACCTTCAAAACTAGGGATGTCAAGCCCATGCTGACACTCTTCAGGTCGCTTGATCTATCTATGCTGGAATATTGCTGCAGTGAGACTAAATATTTCTCTTTAACGTTCAAAGATGATAATAATGTTGTACCACTTCATGGAATAACTTTTTCAGCTTCCATACTACATTGATGGTGACATCAAAATCACTCAGAGTCATGCCATCCTGCGCCACTTGGGTCGTCAGAACAACATGTGTGGCAAGACTGAGAAAGACAAGATAAAGGTGGACATGCTCGAGCACCAAGCCATGGACATACGTATGGGATATATCCGACTCATCTACATTACCTACGTAGGTCACATTTCCTATTGAACCTTGTAATATTGGACACCTACGATGTGAACCTTAGATATTGAACAATAGATTATATTCAGTGAAATATTGGTCCCTTAATGGTAATATGGTGCTCAGGGGATGGAAGATAATCAGGTTTGTTTCCAGGAAGGGAAGGGTAGCTTCACTTCTCTTGATCAAGAACCCTTCATAAGCATCAAGGTACCCCAGTTTTCAAGGGAATTATATTCACCAAATTTTAAGGATATAAAATTCTAGACTATTTTTGAATAAATGGTTTACAAAACCGACAAGTTGATACATGAGACACTTGTGCAACATTTGGGTATCTTTATTTTGGAAACGTCTCGCCACACAGTGGATTCTTCAGTCCAATGCAGCAAGAAGTGGAAGATGAGGAGTTCGAGGTAGTCAGTCCCTCAGCCTGGAGTTGATGTGTTCAGTCAAGACTGATGGACTGACCACATCGACTCTAGACTGACTGATTACTTCGAACTCCTCATCTTCCACCTCTTTCTGTATTGGACTGAAGAAGGCACTGTGTAACGAAACGTTTCCAGAATAAAGATACCCGAATGTTCCACAAGTATCTCATATATAAACTAGACTACTTAATCTTTAAACGAACGTGTCCATTACGATATTAGGTCATTTAAATTCTCATTTAACAGCCCACAGAAAAAGACCAGTACCTTAAGGACTTTAAGACAACGATGAAGGCGCTCTCTGACCTCCTGGGCAGTCAACCATGGTTCGTAGGTGACCAAGTAAGTTCTGATCAACTCTTAGTTTAAGGATGGCAGTCTCATTTTTTTTTTAATTTAATATTTTCAATTTTTTTTAAAACTGTTACGAGATTGTTTTACAGCAATGACTTTTTTTTTATTAGTAACAGGGTAAATTGTTGTAATCAATGTAGGTTTTACCAGGGATATTTTAAGAGCTAATCACAGAATATTTGTTTTTATATCTAAGCGATCTCTACAACATTAATGTCAACAAAATCAGTAACATTGCAAAATGTATTTCTTATTGTTGACTTACTCATAACTACGGAACACTGCCGTAATTACAATACAAGACTATATAGCACTATCATAACTATTCAAGTTGCTAATGGAACAAGACTTCTGACAACTACATATTTGCCAACAGATCACCTTCCCTGACTTTCTGATCTACGAACTTTTGTCTGTCCACCTGGAGTTGGATCCCACCTGCCTTGATAAAACCAACAACCTTAAAGAGTATGTGAAACGCTTCGAGCAGCTTCCGAAGATCAAGAAGTACTTGGAATCTTCAAGGTTCATCAAGGCACCGCTAAATGGGCCTATGGCACACCATGGGAATATTTAAATCTTGCTCTGCTAAGCATTATAGCAACGCCTGAAGTTAACAGTGTATTGTACTTTGAGTTTGCAGAAAGTTACCACTGGCTTACTCTAGTAACGAAAGATAATGGAACTGCACCATTAATAATGTTTTAAGTTAATAAATAAATCATAAGGATTTTTATGTCCTGCGCCATAAGTTTTGTTGCACACTTCAGAGCTAAAGAAAAATTACAAAAAAATGATATGTCTTGAGGTGTCCAGTAGCTAGATTGCTAGAGCACTCAGCTCACACATTAAGGTCAGGTACAGGTGGAAACAATAGGACGTGATTCCTTAGGACACCTGACGTCCCTCTTCACCTAGCAGTGAGCTAGGTACCTGGGTGTTAGTAGACAGGTGTGGGTCGCATTATGCTCTGCAAAACTAGGGGGCTTTATAGTATTAAGTCACTGATATCAGCTAGGCCTGTATACCTTGTACATGTACTTTTAAAAATGGATTAGGAAATGCTAACAGCTGAATATAATTGCAGTTCATGGATCAGCTGTACCATAAGTTCGAATTAATAAATTTGATTAAAAATAACATTATTCAATAAAAAATATTAAATCCTTAAGAAAAAAGTATTTAAGTATATTACATTCAGTAGAGGATCACTAAACCCGTAAGGGTCATACAACGCTTGGGGAGGGGGGGATGGAAGGCACTAGTCATGCCCTATTCCGTAAACTAAAAGTCTCACCAGCATCAAGGAACCTTACGAGGGTAATATTAAGTAAATGTATATATGAATACATTTACAATATTCTAAACTTTGAAGTTTAGGAAATTTTAATATAAATCTTTAAGCACTTAATACTTATTATACACGTGTCTTGCACGAGGAAATAAATTAGGCCCATAAAACGCCCGGAATAAGAGGCGCAGTCAAGAGTCCATTTATGGGTAAATAGCGCCAATTCCTTTGATCAAGAACCCTTCACAGGCATCAAGGCACCTACCTCCCTTGAAGAGCATGCTTATCACCTGCTGCACATACTATACTCAATGTTATTGTCTTTCCATATACGCAGTCTGTTTCAGCCTTACCTCATGTCTGCTCCAGACCTAATTTATCTCTAATAAAAAGTTCAGTATAACAGCAGAGTAATAATTCAACTGTAGCTTCAATGGACAGATAAACATTTATCAAGCACTACATATGTTTTTAATTGCTAGATCAGGAGTCATCACAACCTGGTTCAATCCAAGGGAGATGGTAAAACCTCTTGGATCAACCCCGTCATTGATGGGGAAGGGGGAGCCGTCATCGAAAGATTTTACAAATAGCTTTCAAAGCTAAATCTCGAATATTTGATTATTATTATAATCAAAAAGAAGCGCTAAGCCACAAGGGCTATACAGCTCGAATATTTGAGTGAATGACAAAGTAAGAGCGCTAAACTTAAGGGTCATGCAGCGCCTGGGAAGCAATCAGATTGGAGCCAAGAACAGGGAAGAAGTTAATCTCAGGATCAAAAGTACCTCAGCAGTAATAAACCTTTATAGGGGATTTTTGGTTATCAAAAATAGACAGGATACTTATACACCAAAGTTTATTCTTCAGAGCATGTAAACAGTTTACCTAAACACGTACTTGATGAATTTAGTGTCTGGGGATTAAATTCACGGGGAGCGCTAAACCCGTGTGGGGGCCATACATTAACTGGGTGAATTAAGGAGATTTAAGTTACTCAAGGAAAGCGCAGGTTCAGTTCTTGGGCCTCACTGGCATCAATGAACCTCCCTTGAATGGAGTTTGGTTAAGGTTATTGCAGCTCTTAAGAGAATTTGTTAATTACGGTTTAAAGTCTATACTGCTGTAAACCAAATTCATTTATCTTAATATAAATAAACAAGGGTCGTCCACTACAGTAAATTCCTGGAAGATATTAAACCGATAAGGGTTATAGCGCCTGAGGAAAGGGAAGACATGATCTGTCCAAGAAATGATCAACCTGTTATTTGAATCACGAGCCCCTATCACCGCCGTCTCCCTCAAGGGAGAAATCCTTGGGAAAACTGAAGGTAATCAGATGCCATCAAAGGAAGTTAAGTCCAGTTCCTCGCATCTGGAATTTCTCATCGTTGGTAAGGAACTTGCGATGAGGGACAGTGAGAGGAACCCTGCCCATTATTATTATAATAAAAAGAAGCGCTAAACCACAAGGGCTATACAGCAACCTTGCCCACAGTCTTTCTACTGATGGGAAACATACCTACTAGTCTAGTAACCTATATCTATTAAAATCAAAACTAAGCGCTAAATCCATAAGGGTGATACAACGCTGAGAAGTATACCCGGCTGATACATATTACATTGGGGGGGGAGTATTAAACCAGTAAGGGGGTTCATACAACGCTTGGGGAATGGAAAGGCATTCAAGCAGAAGTCTAATGCCTTAAATCAAGAGAATCTCTCTTCGAGGGGGTGACTGCTGTACACTGCAATACACTGCACGTGTATTGCGAAGTTAAATTGGTGGATCGCAGCAAGACTTTTTTTTTTAGCGAAAAAAATTAAGAAATAAAAGTAATGTGGAACCCATTATCTCCATTAATTCCCTAAAGCTGGTGGCATTTGACAAGTTTATTTTTTTTCGAGGCTAAATTGCAAGTGTTACACAAAAATAGACATACCTGAAAATGGACAAGAGTTACATTTAATCCAAATTCTAAAAAAAAAAAACTAAGCCTAGCAGGCTAAATCTGAGCAGATCATCCAGGAGCGTCACTAAAGAAAAACATTCAACCACAATAAAAAAAACTTAAATGCCACACAGTGTCACTAATAGCTAGAACATGACACAAATACCCTATCGTGCAAACTTCCTAAATACAGATAGTATTAATAGCATGTAAACACCAGCTCCTAACTCCTCCACAGCAGCCATGTACCGGCAGCGTCCCTCTCGGCGCTATCACTAACTCGTAATAACTCCTCCGCCAGGATACCCTTAGTGTATCCCATGTCGTAATATTGAACCCAGTAGCCCATAGAAATTTACAGCAATACTTAACTTACGACCAGAGCTTCGGTAAGAAGGGTAAGGAAGAAGGATGGGTAAAGATAGAAATATGGAAAAAGGGTGGGAGGGGGAGTGAGGTAGGATGTAAGAGGGAAGTGACACAACCACTTCGGTGCAATTTAAAGAGTGTGTGTGTGTGTGTATAATAACAGAAAAATTATTGGAAGGGGTATAACACTTACCCATCAGTCACACATATATTGGTGCATGACTCTGAATTGTAATAGATATACAAGTTGTAATTGCGTTTTTATTTTTTTTTATTTTTTTTTCGATTGTATAATGAAGACTTCAACGACAAGACAAGGCGATGATTATATAGACAATTCATAAAAAAATTACTGGGCACGTTGGCTTCTTTCAAGGTGGTGTCCCGCCATAGTAAATATAGCGATTTTTTAATAGATGTGAAAGTAGAAAGTTATATAAGATATCTCCATAATTAGGAGCGATAATATTCTTAGTAGACATAGAAGGGTTCTGGTGTTAGCCTATCATCTTCATCTACAGGTCGTTGGTCGTTGGTAATCGTCTTTATGGATGAAGCGACGCAGCCTCTGTGGGAGAGTCATTCTTTGGGTCCTGTGAGGAGGATTGTTAGTGATATAGTCGGTAGTATTTTCAACTTGGGGAGGATGTTCTCTATCTGGTATGTAGAGTTCTTGCATTACATAGAGTTGCGTCTTTTTCAGCATATCAAGGCAGTAATATCCTGTTGTACGTGTAAATCTGCTATTTTGATTGTCTCTCCTGGCCCTGATCAGACCCTGATCCACCATGAGGCCTGGTCACAGACTGAGCCGCGGGGGCGTTGACCCCCGGAACTCTCTCCAGGTAAACTCCAGGTACCCGTAATAAAGCGGAGAGCTCTATTCTGGACTCGTTGTAACCGTAGCATGTTGGTCTTTGTTGTTAACGACATTGGAATTATTGGGTATTCGAGTATTGGTCTTATCATTTTATACAGCTGTTTTTTTTTTATGTGGGAAGGGGCTTGATTAAATGTATAGAGACTGCTAAGAAAGGCTTTGGCTATGTTGATCTTTTTACTGACGTGAGATGTTGAGTGGAGCAGACTGTCTTTCATATCCCAAGATCTTGTTAGGGTTTCTAATTGTTACAGGTGTACTTCTGATGGAGATATCCCCCTTGTCTTCGATGGTTGATGCAAAACATCCTATCGTATTAACAAGGACTTTGTCAGGGTTGGTCGTAATTCTCCATTTCTTTTCCCAATTAGATGGCAACCATTGGCACCCACTGGCAACCATTGGCACCCATTGACAACCATTAACATCTACTGACAACCATTGGCACCCACTGGCAGCCACTGGCACCCACTGGCAACCACTAACACCCACTGGCAACCCTATCTAAATGGCATTCTGAAGACAATAGTGAACAAAAACACACACTGCAGAACAAGCTTTTTCGGTGGGGAGGGGATGATATTTCGCTCTATGTAGAGCTTTATAGTGATGAAGCTCTACACAGTGAACCCCTCAAGGGAAGTTCCTTGACGCTGGCGAGGGGCTCTTGATCTGGGGAATTGGATCTGTGCTCCAGTTCCCTGAATTGAGCCTGAATACCTTCCATCCCCCTCCTGCATGCGCTGTATAATCTTTTGGGTTTAGCGCTCCCCCATGATTATATTAATAATTATAATAATCTACACAGTGAAACGTTCCTCCGCTGAAAGCTTATCCTGCAGCTTCCCCTGACATATTTACCACTGAAAATATTATTCCGTCTCGTAGAAGATATTTACTGGCTGTTTATCTAATCTCTCGTCCCTCTATTAATACTGAACGATTATTAGACAATTGCAGACAAGTTTACTTTTGAAGTTCAATTATGGCGGGCAGAGGAAGTGCGATGTCAGAGTGAACACCAAGATTTTTGTTTATTTTTATGCAACACGTGAGCAAAGATACGCTATTGTTGTGAGGCAGCTCCTCCTGCTGGTGGTGGTGCTGCTGGCGGTGATTAGAGAGACTGATGGTGTGAGGCAGCTGCTCTTGCTGGTGGTGGTGCTGCTGGCGGTGATTAGATTATTATTATTATAATCAAGGGGGAAGCGCTAAACCCGGAGGATTATACAGCGCCTGGGGGGGGGGATATGTGGAAGGCATTCAGGCTTAATTCGGGGAACTGGAGCACAGATCCAATTCCCTAAATCAAGAGCCCCTCACCAACATCAAGGAACCTTCCTTGAGGGGGGCGGTGATTAGAGAGACTGATGGTGTGAGGCAGCGCATCCTGCTGGTGGTGGTGCTGCTGGCGATGATTAGAGAGACTGATGGTGTGAGGCAGCGCCTCCTGCTGGTGGTGGTGCTGCTGGCGGTGTTTAGAGAGACTGATGGTGTGAGGCAGCTGCTCCTCCTGGAGGCGGCGGTGATGGTGGTGCTGCTGACAGACACTGGTAGTGTGTGAAGCAGTTGCTGTGATCAGACACAGTTGTGGTGTGTAAGCTGGAGTGTGGGGACCCCTAGTGTAAATAAATCACCTTGTCTATGTTTATTAGAATATTCATGACCGCAGAATACACAGCAGTGTGTGTAATATTATATATATATATATATATATATATATATATATATATATATATATATATATATATATATATATATATATATATAATATATATATATATATATATATATATATATATATAAACATGCTCCCGGTGTTACAGTAAATTCTTGTAAGCCATTATACATTTCTTAGACTGCATTCCAGAGTGCATAACAGCTTATTGATGTATACAGTACTCACCTAATTGTGGTTGCAGGGGTCGAGACTCCGGGGGAACACCCGCAACGACAGGATATATACATAGTGTGGTGGTCACCTATTGTATATGTGCCCCCCTCAAGGAAGGTTCCTTGATGTTGGTGAGGGGCTCTTGATTTAGGGAAATGGATCTGTGCTCCAGTTCCCCGAATTAAGTCTGAATGCCTTCCACATCCCCCCCCCAGGCGCTGTATAATCCTCCGGGTTTAGCGCTTCCCCCTTGATTATAATAATAAAATAATGTATATGTGCCTAAATTGGGTCGCAGGTATCGATTCAGTAGCTTCTGGCCCGCTTGTGCATTGGCTTCTACTGGGGTCACACTCCTGGCTTCCGGGCCTTATTGTACCTATTCTTAATAGTTATTTATGTATTGATCTTGCCTTTACCACTCCATCCAGGTCATTCCACTTTCTAATTACCGTAAGGCCGAAGAAATACTTCCTTACATCCCTGTATTTCAATTTTCAGTGTATAAATACTGAATTTACTTTGTTTAGGGATTAGCTCATTCTTGAGTTTTAAGTCCACTTAACTAACTCGCGGTGTGTGGCTACCCAGATCTATATGAGTTACATGTGTGGCTGCACCATTAAACTACAGGATAGTAGAGGATTCAGAGGTCATGAAGCTGCCACCATCTACCTCACCAACACCATAGAACAATACAGAAGGATGTCCACTCTTTCTAGACTCATTGCACAGATAATCTTGGATCAAGATACCTTTGACATCCTCTCCTCTCGAATTCGCTTGACCTGACCTGCTCCGGCGGCACTTAATCTGAGCTGTCCCAGGAGCACCTGACCTGTCCCAGCGGCACCTGACATATCTCAGCGGCACCTGACATATCTCAGCGGCACCTTCCTGGAGGGTATTCCGGAGATCAAAGCGCCCGCGGCCCGGTCCATAACCAGACCTCCCCGTGGATGAGGGCCTGATCAACTAGGCTGTTGCTGCTGGCCGCACATAGTCCAACGTACGAACCACAGCCCGGCTGATCCGGCACTGACTTCAAGTATCTGTCCAGCTCCCTCTTGAAGGCACCCAGGGGTTCCCTCCCACCCTTATGCCGGGTGGGAATCTGTTGAACAGTCTTGGGCCCCGGACATGTATTGCGTTTTCTCTTAGTGTACAAATGGCGCCCCTACTTTTCACTGGGGGTATTTTGCATCGCCTGCCAAGTCTTTTGCTTTCGTAGGGAGTGATTTGTGTGTGCAGATTAGGGACCAGTCCCTGTAGGATCATCCAGGTGTATTATTATTATAATCATGGGGAAGCGCTAAACCCGTAGGATTATACAGCGCATGTGGGGGAATAGAAGGCAATCAGGCTCAATTCGGAGCACAGATCCAATTCCCTAGCTCAAGAGCCTCTCACCAGCGTCAAGGAACCTCCCTTGAGGGGGATGTGCATGTGAGATGCAGCTTTATGACTGTCGACAGAGGTTTCCTCATATAGATAAACATAGTCGGACAATCACAATTATCTGATGAAACCTTCAAGAATTCTGCTGTTTCACCGTGACGCTCATCTACTTCTGGTTTCAATTTATTTCAGAATTAAATCTTGTTTCAAAATTTATAATGTTAAAGCAGATGAGAAGTGAAATATAAGATAAAGAACTGATAATTATGGGTTATACTGAAGTTTTCGAGTGGTAAATATATTAGGGAGGGCTGCCAGTGGATGTTAAGAGGGGTGGCACTGACACCAGCCAGCTGCCTCACTGCCACACACGTCATCTTCCTGCTAACATGGCACCAGTCTTTGGCTATTGGAAAATACGTGGGGTAAGATTATTCTTTATTATACTCTCTTCCGTATGTTTACATGTATCGTATATTATTAACCGTACACTCAGTATATTAGGACATTGCTTCACCAGTTACTTGTCATCTGATGAAGACCCGTGACAGCACATACAATGTTTGTTGACGAATAAGTCACCACCACCATTGCAGTCATGCACAGTTAAGATAATTTAGTACAAGGACTATAGTGGAAATAAGTGACTGACTTTTTTGGGTTATATGTATGATATATATGTAACTGTTTTTGTGTATACCTGAATAAACTTACTTAGTAGCTGCTGAGCTAACCGTATTTTTTACTAAACAGTACATTATTATTTTAGATTTAAATATTTCATAAATATTTTTTTTACACAATGGTCTTTGATCACACGAATGTCACAGTCACATATACAGTACATTATGTACAAAAACTTTTTTTTTGGCTCCTTTTAAAACCCCTCGACTGTACGTTGAGTTATTAAGGCCTCAGTTCACCCAAACAGAATAATTTAATCACCAAAAATAAATATTAAAACTATCTTAGTGTATATACACTGAGGTAGTATATGTTTCTCCTGTATATATCATACTGATTAAGGCGTATTTCTTTGATAGTATAGCACAGACCTAGCAGTAAGTTTGTCCCATGCTAATTTTATTCAGTAATGATAATTTATGTGCTTGACCAAATAATATTTTAAAATGCTATCATGGAGTTTCTCACACATGACCATTTCTAAATTTTTCCGAGGAAGCAATACACGACAGTCTACCAACACCAAGGTACCTATTTACTGCTAGGTGAACAGGGACAGCAGGTTTTAGGAGACTTGCCCATACGTCTTGATCTTGACAAGGGAGGGAAGGTGAACATCAAAATGGTATACAATACCGACAGGTTGTTAGGTAAGACACATATGCAACAGTTAGACAACTTTATTCCGAAACGTTTCGCCTACACAGTAGGCTTCTTCAGTCGAATACAGAAAATAGGCAGGACCAGTAGAGATGTGAAGACGATGTAATCAGTCCATCACCCTTGTAGTCGTAGAATTTGAGGTTGTCAGTCCCTCGGCCTGGAGAAGTTCAGTTCCATAGTCAGGAACTATCTGAAGATCAAGCGACAGTGCGGAGACTTAAATACTGTCGGAAGGAGAGGTGCAGAGTATTAGTAGTAGTAGTAGTAGTAGTAGTAGTAGTAGTAGTAGTAGTAGTAGTAGTAGTAGTAGTAGTAGTAGTAGTGAGAATGTAACCACTGAGAGGTCATGTCCCTCTCAGATCCAACACTTCTCACTTGAAAAGCTTGTCCAAGGTGTTTTCTGTACCAAGATGCCATGTGTTGCAGTGTCTGACAAGATGAACATCAAAATGGTATACAATACCGACAGGTTGTTAGGTAAGACAACTTTATTCCGAAACGTTTCGCCTACACAGTAGGCTTCTTCAGTCGAATACAGAAAATAGGCAGGAACAGTAGAGATGTGAAGACGATGTAATCAGTCCATCACCCTTGTAGTCCAGATCCCGTTGTAGTTCTGCCTGGTCTTCGATCGAGTGAATTCTTCTCATCAACTTCACGTCATCTGCAAACAGGGACACCTCAGAGTCTATTCCTTCCGTCATGTCGTTCACAAATACCAGAAACAGCACTGGTCCTAGGACTGACCCCTGTGGGACCCCGCTGGTCACAGGTGCCCACTCTGACACCTCGCCACGTACCATGACTCGCTGCTGTCTTCCTGACAAGTATTCCCTGATCCATTGTAGTGCCTTCCCTGTTATCCCTGCTTGGTCCTCCAGTTTTTGCACCACTCTCTTGTGTGGAACTGTGTCAAACGCCTTCTTGCAGTCCAAGAATATGCAATCCACCCACCCCTCTCTCTCTTGTCTTACTACTGTCACCATGTCATAGAACTCCAGTAGGTTTGTGACACAGGATTTCCCGTCCCTGAAACCATGTTGGCTGCTGTTGATGAGATCATTCCTTTCTAGGTGTTCCACCACTCTTCTCCTGATAATCTTCTCCATGATTTTGCATACTATACATGTCAGTGACACTGGTCTGTAGTTTAATGCTTCATGTCTGTCTCCTTTTTTAAAGCTTGGGACTACATTTGCTGTCTTCCATGCCTCAGGTAATCTCCCTGTTTCGATAGATGTATTGAATATTGTTGTTAGGGGTACACAGAGCGCCTCTGCTCCCTCTCTCAATACCCATGGGGAGATGTTATCTGGCCCCATTGCCTTTGAGGTATCTAGCTCACTCAGAAGCCTCTTCACTTCTTCCTCGGTTGTGTGCACTGTGTCCAGCACATGGTGGTGTGCCCCTTTGGTTTATATAAATTAGATCCATTTATAATTAATAGAATTTGGGAAGAATTTAATAATACACTGGACAAATAATAATTTTTAAAATTTTCTTGGGTAGAATAGTTTGTTGGTGGGTTGTGCAAAGGACCTGTCCAGTTGGGCCGGCGCGCGTCAGGTGTTTAACCGTTGTGGGATCTGATAGTGAGGTGTTGGCCAGACCCCTTATATACCTTCCTTGGATGCTTTACTTTCATAGTTCCTTGATAATGTGAGTAGTCACGAAAGCGCTTGGAATTTCTCTATTCTTTCAGAGTGGTTGTTTTGCATATATATATATATATATATATATATATATATATATATATAATATATATATATATATATATATATATATATATATATATATATATATATATATATATATAATATATTATATATAAATCATACATTATGGTCTAGGTAAGTGTAACACGTTCTGGTCATTAATAACTCCAGATTAATGACCATCCACACTTCTCTTCATTAATCTAAATTATAATTAAATTTAATTCAAAACCAAACTTGTAATAGATGACACAAACTTAAGATATTAAACTGTAATCATAATATAATAATATAATTATAATATTTTATTAAAACAAATAATATCAACTTATGGGGTCATAGAGTATCAGTGTTTATTGCACTTTTATGTTTATAATATATTTTATGTTTCAGTTGGGACAGTCCATCAGGCTGTTGCTGGAGTACCTCGGCACGGAGTACGAAGAAAAGTTCTATAACATCGGTCCAGCTCCAGACTTTGACAGATCTGAGTGGCTCAACGAGAAGTTCAAACTGGGACTTGATTTACCCAATGTAAGTTTTATTTTATTATGTTTATATATTAATAAAGTACACGAGGTGTGGAGAAATTTTCTCCAGGAGGGGGGTATCAGCCCCCTTCAGCCCCTTTCAGCCCTGAGGGGCCCAGTCCTCTCAGAAGGGGCAAATATCTTGTTTACTGCTACAGCAAGTAATTGATCCCAGATGCAGTACGAGTATGTGACGTGGTCAAGAGACCTCCGCTCCTTGCAAGAGTCCACTTTATTACCATGGTAAAGATAGTGTACATTGTTGTCTATGCTCAAGACAACAAGAATCAAGCATTCTGCTTTGCTTCATGGAGGAAGTTTGGCAAGGAAGCAAAAAGTACTTGGTCAGCTTTTCCTTTATGTTCTAGGGGCATTCTAGCGGCGTAGGACGCTGTGAGGTCAGATTACTTTTCACCCTACTGGGAGTCACACTGACGCCTGGATAACCAACAAAGAACACTGATCCGTGCGTTAGTGTGAACAAAGTGTCTCACAAAACACGATAAACACTTACAGAGAAGTGTGATTAGCTTCTTTAGTGATAAGATTGTGAACAATAAAGACAAACCTTGTGGAACATAGTGTACCAGTGTGTGTATTCCTAGACTATAGAAAACGTGGACATCCAAGGACACTTCAGCTTCTATCAAGTCACCAATATCTGTCGAGGGTGTAAAAAACACCATAGCTCACTCTACAAGAGCAAGGTGGGTTGCAGATTTCTTGTAGTACGGGGGACTGCGCAGTTCTTGTGTCACAAGGAGTTTGTAATCAGCCTCTAGTCGGCAGTGAGGTGCAGACTTTTGACTCCACACAAGTAAGTATGTCAGCAATCAGTGAATGAAATATGCTGACATAACACCCCCTAGGGGTAATTTATAATCATACCTAATATACTTTATTTTAGCCCGTTAAGAAGTGGATGAGACAGCTTCTCAAGACCTCGTCTGCAGGGGCGGCTGTGTGGACGATAGCTGTCTTATCAGCTAAATACTCCTTATATTTAATCTTTAACCTTAGCTGGTAAACAATTTCTCAATACGAGGCTGCATGTCACCTGTACACCACCAATCAAGATTACGTAATTTAAATCCTTAAAACACGGATTACAATAAACCTTAAGCTTATATACGATAAGATATACACACCTCGGTATATATATATGTATATATACATTATATATATATATATATTTATATATATATATATATATATATATATATATATATATATATATTATATATATATATATATATATATATATATATATATATATATATATATATATATATATGCAAAACAACCACTCTGAAAGAATAGAGAAATTCCAAGCGCTTTCGTGACTACTCACATTATCAAGGAATTATGAAAGTGAAGCATCCAAGGAAGCTATATAAGGGGTCCGGCCAGCACCTCACTATCAGATCCCACAACGGTTAAACACGTGACGCGCGCCGACCCAACTTGGTCCTTTGCACAACTCACCCCCAAGCTATTTATTTGTCCAGTGTATTATTAAATTCTTCCCAAATTCTATTAATTATAAATGGATCTAATTTATATAAACCAAAGGAAATATTCATATTATTGTCAAAACTGCTTTTTATGAAACAAGATTCAATTATATTCCTGTCGACCATGGACTTGCTTGATACTACTTTCTCAACTTTTTGAAAATCAATTGGATGGTTAAAATCTCTTACATGAATAAATAGAGCATTGGAATCTTGTCCAGTTCTAATGCTATATTTATGTTGTTTTAATCTTAGTTCGAGATTTTTACCAGTTTGACCGTAATAAACTTTATCGCAAATTTTACAAGGAATCTTATAGACACATCCATCAGCATTTTGGGGGGAATTCTTAATCAAAAGTTTTTTTACTGTATCAAGATTTTTGAATACAACTTTAATATTAAAAGTCTTAAGAAGAGAAGGCATATCAACCAAGTTTTCTCTATTCTTTCAGAGTGGTTGTTTTGCATATTTTGAAATCACCTGTTTACTGTGATCTTATTGCATATATATATATATATATATATATATATATATATTATATATATATATATATATTATATATATATATTATATATATGACCTTGTTATATAACCTATCCACATTTTACCTATTTTTTTATACAAGTTTCTAATCTTGTGTTTGAATTCAAGTTAAGAATACTTATCAATTAAATATTCAAAGTTTTGTTATATAAATTAGTTTTTAGGGATTTAGGTTTTTCTGTAACTCGTCCGGTTTTAATATTTTTGGCAAATACAATTTTTTATATTCTGATCTTTTAGCCATAAATAACGTTGTTCGGACCATTATTATTATTATTATTATTATTATTAGTATTATTATTATTATTATTATTAAAGGGCTCTTAGTTAGGACGTCTCTTTCAGACATTGCATAGTGAACCTTGGTTACAGTGTTACGTAGTGAACATTGCCTCCATTGCTGCGTAGTGAACCTTGGTTATATTGTTACAGAGTGGACCTTGGTTACATTGTTATAAGGTGGATCTTTTTTGCACTGTTACATAGTGAACCTTTGTTACATTGTTACTTAGTGAGCCTTGGTTATTGTTATATAGTGGACCTTGGTTACATAGTGCATAGCAGGACAGTTCATTCATCAGTGTTGTGGTAGTCAGGAGCTCCAAGGTTTTCATGGAATTAATAGATTTTTCTTATCATTAATCACTCCGGAACAGGAAGCCACTTCCCCTTCGTACATCCCCTTGACACACACACACAGTGAGGAGGCGGGGCCAGGAGCTATGACTCGAACCCTGCAACCACAACTAGGTGAGTACACACACACGCGCACACACACACACACAGTGAAGAGGCTGGGTCAGGAGCTATGACTCGACCCCTGTATCCACAACCAGGTGAGTACACACACACACACACACAGTGATGAGGCTGGGTCAGGAGCTATGACTCGACCCCTGCAACCACAACTAGGTGAGTACACACACACACACAGTGAAGAGGCTGAGTCAGGAGCTATGACTCGACCCCTGCAACCATAACTAGGTGAGTACACACACACACACACACACAGTGACGAGGCTGAGTCAGGAGCTATGACTCGACCCCTGCAACCACAACTAGGTGAGTACACACACACACACACACACACACACACACAGTGACGAGGCTGGGTCAGGAACTATGAGTCGACCCCTGCAACCGCAACTAGGTGAGTACACACACAGTGACGAGGCTGGGTCAGGAGCTATGAGTCGACCCCTGCAACCACAACTAGGTGAGTACACACACAGTCATAGAGTTGTCAGGCAGTGGAATAGCCTAGAAAATGACGTAGTGGAGGCAGGAACCATACACAGTTTTAAGACGAGGTTTGATAAAGCTCATGGAGCGGGGGGGAGAGAGGGCCCAGTAGCAACTGGTGAAGAGGCGGGGCCAGGAGCTAAGACTCGATCCCTACAACCACAACTAGGTGAGTACACACACACACACACACACACACAGTGACGAGGCTGGGTCAGGAGCTATGACTCGACCCCTGCAACCACAACTAGGTGAGTACACACACACACACAGTGAAGAGGCTGAGTCAGGAGCTATGACTCGACCCCTGCAACCACAACTAGGTGAGTACACACACACACACACACACACACACAGTGACGAGGCTGGGTCAGGAGCTATGACTCGACCCCTGCAACCACAACCAGGTGAGTACACACACACACACACACAGTGAAGAAGCTGAGTCAGGAGCTATGACTCGACCCCTGCAACCACAACTAGGTGAGTACACACACACACACACACACACACACACACACACACACACACACACACACACACACAGTGACGAGGCTGGGTCAGGAACTATGAGTCGACCCCTGCAACCGCAACTAGGTGAGTACACACACACAGTGACGAGGCTGGGTCAGGAGCTATGAGTCGACCCCTGCAACCACAACTAGGTGAGTACACACACAGTCATAGAGTTGTCAGGCAGTGGAATAGCCTAGAAAATGACGTAGTGGAGACAGGAACCATACACAGTTTTAAGACGAGGTTTGATAAAGCTCATGGAGCGGGAAGAGAGAGGGCCCAGTAGCAACTGGTGAAGAGGCGGGGCCAGGAGCTAAGACTCGACCCCTGCAACCACAACTAGGTGAGTACACACACACACAGTGACGAGGCTGGGTCAGGAGCTATGACTCGACCCATGCAACCACAACTAGGTGGGTACACACACATCCCGGATAACCTCTGCAGCCAGTGCTCGCCTGGCAAATCTGAGTGTGGCCTTCAGGAATCTCATGTCCTTCCAGGCACTTTGTACAACATTTATTAGGCCCATCTTTGAGCACGCAGCACCAGTATGTATCCCACTCCTGGAGAAACATGTTAGAAACTGATGAAAGTGAAGAAATATGCAGTAAGGCTTGTCATAGAGTTAAAGGGGTTTAAGCTCTAGTATCATGAGAGTCTAATGAAATTGAATTTATCGACGTTGGAGGATAGAAGAACCAGGGGAAATATAATAAAAGACTCAGGAAGATTGATAGGGTAGACAGGGACAGGCTGTCTGAAGCGAGAAACGGGACTCAGCTGGAAGTTAAAAACACATGAGCCACTGGGATGTCAGGAAGTATTTCCTCAGTCTCAGAGTGGTCGGAAAGTGGAATGACATATAATGGAGGCAGACTTTATACATAGCTTTAAAAGCAGGCATGATAAGACCAACTATGGTAGGCGGGTGTAAATCTAGCAAACAGCAAGTTAAGAGGCGGGACCAGGAGCTACAACTTGACCCCTACAGGCACTATAGGTGAGTGCACACGCTCCCTCGTACTTTCAGGATGAAACCTAACCTCATAGCTACTCAAACCAAAGTAAAATAATTAATATGGTACAAAGATTTTCAACTAGACAGAGCCCCAGACCTGAGGGGTGTGTCCATTAAGGAGTGACTGAAGGAACTGAACTGGACAACTCTGAAAGAGGACGACTTGGAAGGACATGATTAACATATACACGATTATTTCGGGGAATAGACAGAGTAGATAATAATATATCAGAAGAGTGTCTGGATAGTTTCATTGGAAAGCGCTAAAGCCGCAGGGATCATACAGCGCTCGAAAAATGGTAGGCATTTAGACTCCACCCAAGGAAGGGAAGGATAGGTCCAATTCCTTAAATCAAGAGCCTTTTACCGGTATGAAGGCAGCCACCCTCGGGGGACAAGTATGAAGAATAAGGGACACTATATTGTCATTTAGGGAAGGGGGGTAATGGAAACGTTCAGGTAATTGGGGAATAAAAGAGTTAAGGGAGGGAGTAGGAGTGAGATAGGCAGGAGTGGCGAGTCGAGTGATTAGCGGAGGTAATGTGAGGTTACTGGTGACTACACCATCACTCTCATTACCACCACCACCACCACCACACTACTCACCCTCTCAGTACTTGGTATAAAATAATGAATAAACGGGGACAGTGAATATTACTGTTCCACTCAAACACAGTTTATTATTAAGTCCTTGTACAATAACATATTTGGGAACAGGAGAACATTATTAGTTTTAGATAAATGAGGATGGTACACATAAGCAGTGAGACAAGGAATACAATCAACTGACGAAACAGAATATAACTTAAAATATAGTTCAGAGGACAGTTCGCCACAGGAACTAAATCACACACTAACCACAGGTCCCAAGACCTACACAGAACGAGTACTGCTCAAAGTCAGTAATCTGCCCAATGTCTCCAACAGAGTCTCCTCCCGAGACTCTCCAGCTCAGCTCTGCACACAGGCCAGAGCTTCGCTCGACTCTGCTGCTCAGAGCTCTGCATACAGCAGCAGCTCCGCTCAAAAAAATCCCCTTCCTCAGCTGTTCCTTGGGCTTATATGGTCCTTCAAGCACCCCCACAGTGGGGTGTGCATCACATGTTTTGACCTGACGCCGAGATCTGACTCCATCAAGAACAAAAGACCTCAGACTTTAAGCTGAAAGGTGTGTCTGACAGCTATTTGCTAAGGCAAGGTGTGACCATTTAATTAGGTTAAATTAGGTGTCCCTTAGAGACCTCACAAGCATAGTGGACTACATCACAATATGGACTCTCAAAATCCGAGTCAAACACAAGTTATGAAGTATTTAATCAGCACGAAATTAGTGATGATGAACGCATTATCCAATGACAGGAAAAGATGATGACTATACGGGGGCTCATTATTTTTATATTCAAGGGGAAGCTGTAAACCCTTGGGAGTCATACAGCACCTGTGAATAGGAGGTACTGAGGTTTTATTCAGGCAAGAATAGGATATCTGCAATTCCCTAGATCAGAAGCCTTTGTTTTCTAAAATTAAGGAACCCCACTTGAACGGAATATTCAAGCAAGGTCTCATATATGCAAATAAACCACATAAAAGTAAGCTTGTGGATCGTGAATGAGGGTATAAAGTGCCTTTATTGTGGTGCTGCTCCTCAAGTCTCTCACAGTAACCACTTCTCTCTGCCACCAGGCCCGGTGGCCTGGTGGCTAAAGCTCCCGCTTCACACACGGAGGGTCCGGGTTCGATTCCCGGCGGGTGGAAACATTCGACACGTTTCCTTACACCTGTTGTCCTGTTCACCTAGCAGCAAATAGGTACCTGGGTGTTAGTCGACTGGTGTGGGTCGCATCCTGGGGGACAAGATTAAGGACCCCAATGGAAATAAGTTAGACAGTCCTCGATGACGCACTGACTTTCTTGGGTTATCCTGGGTGGCTAACCCTCCGGGGTTAAAAATCCGAACGAAATCTTATCTTATCTTCTTAAACATTCCTCGCTCACAGCCATGCTAAGCGTTCTAGTGGTACACTCTGTAATCACAATTTTACTACATGTAAACCACACAATAACCAAATTTCTGTAAACTCAGCATTGTAATCCTTATAGAGAATAAACCCACTTCTCCCTGCGCTGAAGCTAAATATTCCGCGCTCACAGTAACCCACTTCTGGAGAATAACTGGAAAGGATTTCGGGGGTCAACGTTCCCGCGGCCCGGTCTGTGACCAGGCCTTATGATGGATCAGGGACTGATCAACCAGGCTGTTACTGTTGGCAACACGCAATCCGATGTATGAACCACAGCCCGGGTGGTCAGGTACTACTAACTTTAGGTGCCTGTCCAGTGCTTTCTTGAAGACAACCAGGGGTCTATTGATAATCCCCCTTATGTATGCTGGGAGGCAGTTGAACAGTATCGGGCCCCTGACACTTATTGTGTTGTCTCTTATCATGCTAGTGACACTCCTGCTTCTCATTGGGGGGATGTTGCATCATCTGCCGAGTCTTTTGCTTTCGTAGTGAGTGATTTTCGTGTGCAAGTTTGGTACTAATCCCTCTAGGATTTTCCAAGTGTATACAATCATGTATCTCTCCCGCCTGCATTCCAGGGAGTATAGGTTGAGGAACTTCAAGCGTTTCCAGTAATTGAGGTGTTTTATCGCAGTTATGTGTGCCGTGAAGGTTCTCTGTACATTTTCTAGGTCAGCAATTTCACCTGCCTTGAAAGGTGCTGTTAGTGTGCAGCAATATTCCAGCCTAGATAGAACAAGTGACCTGAAGAGTGTCATCATGGGCTTGGCATCCCCAGTTTTGAAGGTTCTCATTATCCCTCGTGTCATTTTTCTAGCAGATGCGATTGATACAGTGTTGTGGTCATTGAAGGTGAGATCCTCTGACATGATCACTCCCAGGTCTTACACTAGTTTTTGCTCTATTGTGTGGTTGGAATTTGTTTTATACTCCGATATAATTTTAATTTCTTCACGTTTTCTATATCGGAGTAATTGAAATTTCTCATCATTGAACTTCATATTGCTTTCTGCGGCCCATTTAAAGATGTCCGCCTGGACACCGCAAGACTCCAGGCGGACATCAACCAAATCTTTAAATGGGCCGCAGAAAATAATATAAAGTTCAATAATGAGAAATTTCAATTACTCCGATATAGAAAACGTGAGGAAATTAAAACTATCTCGGAATATAAAACAAATTCCAACCACACAATAGAGCGAAAAACTAATGCAAAAGACCTGGGAGTGATCATGTCAGAGGACCCCACCTTTAAAGACCGCAAGATTGTATCAATCGTATCTGCCAGAAAAATGACAGGATGGATAATGAGAACCTTAAGAACCCCTACGACATGAGAACCTTCAAAACTAGGGATGCCAAGCCCATGATGACACTCTTCAGGTCGCTTGATCTATCTATGCTGGAATATTGCTGCAGTGAGATTAAATATTTCTCTTTAACGCTCAAAGATGATAATAATGTTGTACCACTTCATGCAATAACTTTTTCAGCTTCCATACTACATTGATGGCGACATCAAAATCACTCAGAGTCATGCCATCCTGCGCCACTTGGGTCGTCAGAACAACATGTGTGGCAAGACTGAGAAAGACAAGATAAAGGTGGACATGCTCGAGCACCAAGCCATGGACATACGTATGGTATATGCCCGATTCGCCTATATGAACTACGTAGGTCACATTTCCTGTTGAGCTTGTAATATTCAACACCTACGGTGTGAATCTTAGATATTGAACAATTTAGATTTTTTATTTTGACAAATTAAATGGTTGTACAGAGGAATATAATAGTTGGGTGTACATGCCAAAAGCTCCTCTGTAAGCTGAGCATTTCGGGCAAACTTAAAGATTAAATTAAGAATAGTAAGGCAATAATACATAGTTCATATGGTCATTAGATGAGTTAGAGTGAGGACAGGAAAATTAAATATTATATCAGGTGATGCTACATGGTTCTGATAAGTCTAGTAGAGACTTTTTACACAATTGAATTAGTTAATAAAGATTACAGTATTACAATATAACAATTTAAAACAATTTACAATATGATGGATTACAGTTTATAATTATTTAAAACAATGAAATTTGGTATTACAATGGAACAATTTACATTATAGATTATATTCAGTGAAATATTGGTCCCTTAATGATAATATGGTGCTCAGGGGATGGAAGGTAATCAGGTTTGTTTCCAGAAAGGGAAGGGTAGCTTCACTTCTCTTAATCAAGAACCCTTCATAAGCATCAAGGTACCCCAGTTTTCAAGGGAATTATATTCACAAAATTTTAAGGAAATAAAATTATAGACTTTTTGAATAAATGGTTTACAAAACCGACAAGTTGATACATGAGACACTTGTGCAACATTTGGGTATCTTTATTCTGGAAACGTCTCGCCACACAGTGGATTCTTCAGTCCAATGCAGCAAGAAGTGGAAGATGAGGGGTTCAAGGTAATCAGTCCCTCAGCCTGGAGTTGATGTGTTCAGTCAAGACTGATGGACTGACCACATCGACTCCAGACTGACTGATTACTTCGAACCCCTCATCTTCCACCTCTTTCTGTATTGGACTGAAGAAGCCACTGTGTGACGAAACATTTCCAAAATAAAGATACCCGAATGTTCCACAAGTATCTCATGTATAAACTAGACTACTTAATCTTTAAACGAACGTGTCCATTACGATGTTAGTCATTTAAATTCTCATTCAACAGCCCACAGAAAAAGACCAGTACCTTAAGGACATTAAGACAATAGTGAAGGCAGTCTCTGACCTCCTGGGCAGTCAACCATGGTTCGCAGGTGACCAAGTAAGTTCTGATCAACTCTTAGTTTAAGGATGGCAGTCTCGTTTTTTTTTTTCGATTTAATGTTTTCATATTTTTGAAAACTGTTACGAGATTGTTTTTCAGCAAAAATTTGTTTTATTAGTACAGTAACAGGGTAAATTATTATTATAATCAATGTAGGTTTTACCAGGTTTGTTTTAAGAGATAAGCAGTTAATATTTTTATATTTAAGTGATGTCTACAAGATTCATTTCAACAAAATCTGTAACATCGCAAGATACATTTCGTATTGTTGACTTACTCATATTATAATCAAATAAAGCGCCTTACTCATAATAACTACGGAACACTCCCGTAACTACAGTATCATTTCGTCTCTCAGCCCTTGAGTAGAGAGGACGTGCGCTGCTGCTACCCCCTGGTGTTGATTAGTGGCAGTTATATTTTCACAGCATGGCGCAGGCAAGCCGGAGACGCATAAACACAGTCTGTGTTGAGCTTATCCGTGGGGCTGTGACAGGAACTTCTATGGACCTGATACTACCTGCAATCATACGAGATACATATGGTATTGCTGACGAGGAGATATATGGAGTAGCGCTGAATGGCACGACGAGGATCTTTGTCAAGTTTAATTTGGCAAGTGTGTATGAGGCGGTAGTCGACAAGTACCAGGAGGTTACTTTGACAGTTAACTCCGCTGTGACCGTGCGACTTCACGACGTTTCTCGCCATTACACATGGGTTAAGATTAGAAATGTGCCATTCGAGGCGGATGATTCTGACATCCGTCTTGCGATGGGCAAATATGGTACAGTACATATGGCCACTGTTGGGAAGTGGGCCACTGGGCCATACGCAGGGAAACTCGAAGGAACGTATTCTGTGAAGATGACGTTACGTTACCCTATTCCGTCGTACGTAGTGCTGCCAGAATTTCGTACCCAGGTGTTTGTGACATACGCTGGGCAACGCCGGACCTGTCGGTTATGTGGGTCATATGATCACCTAGCGGCTCTGTGTGAAAGGAGGCGTGGCAACATGGAACAAAGGCAACGACATACAGCAATAGAGAAGAGTGAGGATTTGCCTTATGTGACTCTGCCTACACAAGGTGGGTCCTGGAGTGAGGAGGTCGAGAGAGCGGAGGAGATGGAGTCAGCAGGTGTGACGAGGGGGGGGGACACCCCTTCATTGAACGCAGCTCAGGTGTTGGAAGAGGACACCCCGACTGCGAGTGCTAGCGATGTGGAAGACTCATTAGCCATGGCTTTAAATGTGTTATTGGCTGACAAGAGTCTTGGGAAGGTTGGGAGTCCAGATCTAGTTCTTGGGTCTGTTGTGGATCCGGGCGTGGAACAGGATCTGAGGTCTGCGCAGTGTGATAAGAATCTTTTGATGCAAGCTGTGGAGGTGGAGGTCCACCGGGACAATGTATCAGACGACATGATGGAAGCAGAGGGAGCATCACGGAAGCGCGCTGCTGCACTATCTGACTCCGAGGACGTGATCACGCCTGCTCAGCGCACTGACAAAAAGTCCTGGGCGGATGTTACGCAGAGAGGAAACAGCGGCCCTACGGGGCAGGAGTTGGTTAAGAGCGTTTCTAAAGGGGGGGAGAGGGACCGAGGTGTCACGAAACGATCTGGTGGCAAGACAGTACCAGGGTCAAGAAGGAAAACCACTCTGTAAGCTTCAAGTGCATGACATTGAACATTAATGGATTGAGATCAGAGAGAAAGTGTGTATGGTTTAGTGAATATTTGGTGCGTAATAGTGTTGACGTGGTGTTCGTGCAGGAACACAACTACAGACCAGGTTATGAGTTGAAGGTAAATGGGTATAATGTGTATGTGGAGCATGCGATAAGGTTGAAAGGAGGAGTTGCCATCCTGGTAAGGGAAACTAGCCCGTTCGTAGTGAGGCATTGTGAGGGGGGGGAGGGGAGGGTGATTCGTGTAGATGGGTGGTGGGGTAGGGTACAGATGAGTTTGGTGTGTGTGTATGGTCCAGCAGAGGGAGATGTGCGTATTAAGAATAAATTTGTGAAGGATGTCTTAGTATATTATTTGCGTGCTTTGCCGGGTGTAGCTGTAATTGGTGGTGATTGGAATTGTGTGATAAGGCGTAAGGATGTGGAACCTAGAGGGGCAGGGTATTGTTTGGGGATTTGGGGGAATTATTAAATGGAGTGGGGTTAATGGACGTTGGACGGGGTGGGGTTGTAGAACATACTTTTGTTAGACGTGGATATGCGGCAAGACTGGATCGATTGTATGTGCCCCGAACAGTAATAGTGAGCAGAGTGCGTGTGGTGGACGCGGTTTTTTCGGATCACAGAGGAGTAATGGTGGACCTAGAATGGGAGGGATTGCCTAGAAGGGGTCAAGGTTATTGGAAGTTAAATGTGAGGCTTTTGCAGGGTGAGGAATGTTGTCAGTCTTTTGCGCAATTGTGGGAACGGTTGGTGGATGAGGCGCCGGGGGATGATGAACTGGTAAATTGGTGGGATTCGGTGGCTAAAAATCGTATCAGAGAATATTATATTTGTCGTGGGAGGGAAGATAATCGGTTAAAGTATGGGTTTCAAAGATATCTTGAAGGGCAGCTGCGGGACTGTTATGCAAGAGGAGGAGCAAGCTATCCAGTGCAGGACATTGAGGGTTTAAAGGAGAGTATTAGGGTATTGCAAAACGAGCGTTTGATGGTGTGCGAATTATGGGAGGATTGGAAGAAGTGCTATGGGGTGACCGGCCGTTGGCTTGCGTGTTAAGAGGCCAGAGAAAGAGGAGAGTGACGATGGAGATGATGGGGTTAAACGTACATGTAGGGATGGAAGGGTATAGAGCGGGTCAAGCATTGGTAACGACAGAGGGTATGAGTGGATATGTAGACGCTTGGTTTAAGTCATATACGCAAAGTGTGGGCTTCCGTGAGGTGGCATTGAGGGAAATGGGAGAGTATGTGCAGTGTGAGCTTGATGGTCAAGATCGGGTGACATTAGGTGGGCCGATTACGGAGTGTGAGATTTGGCAGGCGTTGTCAGGAGTAAGTTTGGGAAAAGCGCCGGGTATAGACGGACTGCCAAATGATTTCTACGTAAAGAATTGAGGGGTTCTGAGGTTTTTTTTAGTAAGGCTGTTTAAACATACTTAAGGCGGCTGAGGTAATGGGAGAGCAGCAACGGACGGCCGTTGTGGTGTTGGTGCCGAAAGGGGAGCAGTCAACGGTAATGGATTATCGGGCACTTTCGCTTATGTGTGGAGATTATAAGTTGTTTGCGAGAATATTAGGGAACAGAATCAAGAGGGTAATAGGCAAGGTAATTGATAAGGGGCAATATGGGGTGCCAGGAAGGTCGATGTATGAAGGGCATGGCATGATTCGAGAATTTATAGAGAAACAGGGGGAGTTGGGTGATGGAGGTGTATTGGCGTTAGATTGGAAGGCTGCTTATGATAGTGTAGAAAGGGAAGCGTTATGGAGGTTTATGCGTTGGCAAGGTTTTGGGGAAGAAATAATATCTTGGGCAAAATTATTGTATCAGGGGGCATCGATGAGGGTGCAGGTTAATGGGAGGCTGGGAGTTAAAATACAGATGCGACGGGGACTGCGCCAAGGCTGCCCACTATCACAAATATTGTTTGCGTGTATACAGGATCCATTTTATAGGGCCATTCGGAGGTGTGTTGCGGGAGGTGGGGAGGGTACTGACCGGGGGGAGGGGGGGCTGGTATCGTAGGTTATGTGGATGACACGACTGTTTTGGTGAGAGGTAATGGGGATTTGCTTAGGGTGGGTAAGGTGGTGGATGTGTTTGGGGAGGCTTCAGGTATGAAAATTAATGTTGAGAAGACTAAGTTTCTAGACTTAAGGGATAGTACAAATGGGGATGAGGTGGTAGGGGGTGGGTGGAAGGTGGTGGATCAACTAATGATATGTGGGATAATTTATGTGAGAAATACACGGGTGGCTCAAGAGGTGAATTCGGTGAGAATAGTGAATGGAGTATTGAAAAGACTTGGTGGTTTGAGGGCGGCGCAACTAACGCTGCATCAAAGAGTAATAGTGACGAACGTGCTATTGTACAGCAAGATATGGCATGTCGTTGTCATGTACCCGCTGATGAGACGTGAGGTGAAGCGTTTACAACATGGGGTTTTTAGGTTTATATGGGGATCGGGCTGCGAATGGTTAAGTAGAGCGGTGTTAACACTTCCGGTCAGTCGAGGAGGGCTGGGACTTTTACCTCTGGAAAAAAGGATGATGAGCGTGTACCTAAAACGAAGTTATATAAGGGAGGGGTGCGGGAGGGGAGGTGGACTTGTGCGAGTACGTAAGGATATGCAACGGTGGTGGGGGGGTAGGGATTTAATAGTTGGTGAGGCCATGTTGAGGTTATTAATGACAGTGAGGGATCCGTCGTGTGTTAAATTGCGGGTCCTCGAAGGAGTGGAAGGTAGGTCAGTGGTGGCTGCTGTTGAAGGGGCATACCCTATGTATGCGTGGAACGAAATATGGACGCGTCTAAAACAATTACGTGTAAAACCGGGTGTTCGGGAGGTAATGTTTAGATTTTTACATGGGATTTTGCCGTCTGGGGTTGTCCTATTCAATAGGAGGATAAGGGAGGGAGGGGAATGTAGAGCGTGTGGAAGCATGGAGACAATTTTGCATGCGGTATATTTTTGTGACTGTATAGAAGTGGTGCGGGTCTGGTTAGGAAAGGTGTTCAGGTTAGTGGGTGGGGGAGGATTGCAGGTGTTGCGGGCTTTAAGTTTGGATATAGGAGGGGTGAGTAAGATGGTGGAGAATGCAGTGGCGTATTTGGTCACGGATTTTATATATACGTCATGGGCCATGAGGGAGGTGGGCGTGGATGAGAGGATAAAGGTGTTAGCTGCGACATTTTACAGAACTAAGTGTCGTAATAGGGAAATTTATGTAGGGAATTGGGAGAATGCGTTTACTGAGGGCTATCGGAGTTTTAGGTTGAGGGATTTATGGGATTTAAGTGCAATGTAAGGGGTCGCGGCGGGCTGGCTTCCCGATGAGGACAGTGTGAAAGGGTTTAGTGCGGAAGAGAATGAATATAGTACTGAGACATAAGTGCCTTTGACTGTATGATGAGCGGGTTGTGTGTTGTGAACGATACACGTTCTACAATTTAATTATTAATTATGCTAATGACAAAGGACGACAGACGTCGTAATGTGATGGAATATTATATATCTGCAACGAAATTATTGGTATGTGTGTAATGAAATGACAAAATGGGTGCACTGTGTGAATGCGAAATATATATATACACATGAAGTATTGCGTGTGGTAGGAAGCTTCAGTATTTATCGACGTGTGAAGGTGATGCACTGTTATGTTTTGTGATAACAGACTTACATCTTAGTAGTGGTTTTAATGATATGGGTGAAATATTTTTAGAAAGCTTGACTTATCCTGTTTTCTTAATACATATTGTTTTTTCATGGGAGCTCAATAGAGCCCGTAGGTTTAGGTTACCATTGAATTGATATATATTATAGGGTAATTGATGGATGACATAGGATTAGGTATTTGTGTTTTCACTGGTTGTGTTGTAAAGTGTATGTAACATATGTATATATTTATACCTTCCTCGAGAAGGTGATATGTTTGGGTGTTTAGTAGATATACGTTGTACATGAATCATGTAGCATTGAATTTTATATTATCTCAATACATTGAGTGATACTGAACGTATCATGTTGTTCAATATGGAATAATGAAAGTATTTCATACAATATACAGTTACATATAAAGATTGTTACGTGTCAGGTGGCTTGACATGCAAGAAGGGGGGGGGTAGTGTTTTCAGAATGTAAGGTGTACATTCCGTGGCAGGATGTACAATCAGGAATTAGATGTACTTGCCAAGGAGTCTTTAGGTTAGATTTAGTGTTCCAGACATAATGTCATTACTTCAAGGATTGGAATGGTCATTGTTTACTGTACAGATTTGTCTTTCAGATGTAATATGTTAATTGGAAAGTACATGTACTATGCAGAATTTTTCATCACTGTTTTCACTATGTAATTTGTCGTTTATTTTTATGTACTATGTATGTCTTTTCAATAAAATATAAAAAAAAAAACTATTCAAGCTGCCATTAGAACACGGCTTCTGATAACTGCATAACATTTGCCAACAGATCACCTTCCCTGACTTTCTGATCTACGAACTTTTGTCTGTCCACCTGGAGTTGGATCCCACCTGCCTTGATAACGCCAACAACCTTAAAGAGTATGTGAAACGCTTCGAGCAGCTTCCGAATATCAAGAAGTACATGGAATCTTCAAGGTTCATCAAGAAACCGATAACTATGCCTACGGCACACCATGGGAATATTTAAATCTTACTCTTATAAGCAATATAGCAATGCCTGAAGTTAACAGTGTATTGTACTTTTAAATTGATTTTGCCGAAAGTTTCCACTGGCTTAATCTAGTAACGAAAGCTAATGGAATTGCACGATTAATAATGCTTTCAGTTTATAAACCATAAGGACTTTCATGTCTTACAACATAAGTTTTGTTGCACACTTCAGAGCTAAACAAAAAATACAAAAAGCTGATGTCTTGAGGTGGCCAATAGCTAGATTGCTAGAGCACTCAGCTCACACACTGAGGTCAGGTACAGGTGGAAACAATTAGGACGAGATTCCTTAAGACACCTGACGTCCCTCCACCTAGCAGTGAACTAGGTACCTGGGTGTTAGTAGACAGGTGTGGGCCGCATTATGCTCTGCATAGCGAGGGGCTTTATAATATTAAGTATACCTTGTACATGTATTTTTAAAAATGGATTGGTAAATGCTAACAGCTGAATATAATTGCAGTTCATGGATCAGCTGAACCATAAGTTTGAATTAATAAATTTAATGAAAAATAACATGAAAATAAAAAATATTAAATCCTCAAGAAAAAGTATTTAAGCATATTACATTCAGTATAGGACCACTAAACCCGTAAGGGTTTTACAGCACTTGGGGAGGGGGGGTATATGGAAGGCACTAGTCATGCCCAATTCCGTGAATCAAAAGCTTCTCACCAGCATCAAGGAACCTCTTAGAGAGAAATACTAAGTATATATGAATACATTTACAATATTCTAAACTTTGAAGTTTAGGAAATTTTAATATAAATCTTTAAGCACTTAATACTTATTATACACGTGTCTTGCACGAGGAAATAAATTAGGCCCATAAAACGCCCGGAATAAGAGGCGCAGTCAAGAGTCCATTTATGGGCAAATAGCGCTAATTCCTTTGATCAAGAACCCTTCACAGGCATCAAGGCACCTACCTCCCTTGAAGAGCATGCTTATCACCTGCTGCACATACTATACTCAATGTTATTGTCTTTCCATATACGCAGTCTGTTTCAGCCTTACCTCATGTCTGCTCCAGACCTAATTTATCTCTAATAAAAAGTTCAGCATAACAGCAGAGTAATAATTCAACTGTAGCTTCAATAGACAAACATTTACCAAGCACTACATAAATATTTTTTAATTGCTTGATCAGGAATCTTTACAACCTGGTTCAATCCAAGGGAAATGGTAAAACTTCTTGGCTCAACCCCGTCGTTGATGGGGAAGGGGGGCGGTCATTGAAAGACATTTTACAAATAGCTTTGAAAGCTAAATCAAATATTTGTGAATGAAAGTAAGAGCGCTAAACCTGTAACGGTCATGCAGCTCCTGGGAAGCAATCAGGTTAGAGCCAAGAATAGGGAGGTTAGTCCCAGGATCAAAGTACCTCTGCAGTATTTTTTTTTTTATCAAAAATATGGATATTTATACACCAAGGTTTATTCTTCAGAGCATGTAAACAGTTTACCTAAACACGTACTTTATGAATTTAGTGCCTGGAGATTAAATTCACGGGGAGCGCTAAACCCGTGTGGGGGCTAAACATCGACTGGGTGAATTAAGGAGATTCAAGTTACTCGAGGAAAGCGCAGGTTCAGTTCTTGAGCCTCACTGGCATCAATGAACCTCCCTTGAGCCTCACCGGCATCAATGAACCTCCCTTGAATGGAGTTTGGTTAAGGTTATTGCAACTCTTAAGAGAATTTGTTAATTATGGTTTAAAGTCTATACTGCTGTAAACCAAATTAATTTATCTTAATATAAATAAACAAGGGTCGTCCACTACAGTAAATTCCTGGAAGATGTTAAACCGATAAGGGTTATAGCGCCTGAGGAATTGGAAGACCTGATCAGTCCATGAAATGATCAAGTGGTTATTTGAATCACGAGCCCCTATCATCGCCGTTTCCCTCAAGCCAGATTATTATTATAATCAAAAAGAAGCGCTAAGCCATAAGGGCTATACAGCGCTGCAGGGTAGGGAAGGAAGTGAGGGTATTGGGCAGCAGAAGGGAGGAGGGATGATCAGTAGGTTACAGAAAACGGCGGGGCAGGGGATAGTACGGGGGTAGAGGGTAGCAAGAGATTGAGGTAGAAAGGGCTGAAGGTATCAGAATTTGTGAAGTCAGTTGTAAAAAAGTCAATGAGAGAGTCCGGATGAAAGGTGGGTCCATCAGCGAGAAGGGAAGGTAAAGAGAGAGCAGCGGAGCGAAGACGACGACAGAGATAAATTCTGCGTGCTCGTTGATAAAGTGGGCAGTCCAACAGAATGTGGCTGACTGATAATGGAGCCTGGCAATTCTCACAGAGAGGAGCAGGGCGCCTCTCCATGAGATATCCATGAGTAAGACGAGTATGGCCAATGCTAAGATGGGAGAGAGTAGTATCCCAACCTCGACACTGGTGATAACAAGACGGCCAGTAACCTATACTCGGTTTAATAGATTGAAGTTTGTTACCAAGCATAGTAGACCAACGTTGTTGCCAACGGGTGTGAAGGTGGGAAGATATCGAAGCAAAATAGTCCGTAAATGGAATACCTCTATATGAAACTGGTAGGTCATGTACTGCTGACCGCACAGCAGTGTCTGCCTGTTCATTGCCTTGTACGTCAACATGCCCAGGGACCCAAAAAAAAAACAATATCTTTATGCTTGGTAAAGATGCGGTGTAGCCAAAGTTGGATACGGAGGACTAAGGGGTGAGGTGTATCAAATTCCTGTATAGCCTGTAAAGCGCTAAGGGAGTCTTGAGACAACCACAAATGATGACACAGGCATAGATGCAATACAGATAAGTGCTGCAAGGATGGCATACAATTCAGCAGTAAAAATATAAGCCGAAGATAGTAAATGCCCTCGTACGACGCTGTCCAGAAACACTGCTGCGAATCCTATGCCATCAGAAGACTTAGAGCCATCTGTGTACACAGCAATGGCATGAGAATGAGAATGGAAGTGGTCAAGAAAAAGAGCGGGAAGTGACCATAGACAGTTGGGCTTTCGAGCAAGGGAGAGAGAAAGAACAGACTCGAACAGCTGGAACTTCCCAGGGGGGTAGGGAAAAGTGAGATGCTACATGAACATAGAAAGGTGGTAATTGAAGAGAAGACAAGAGCGAATGAAGGCGAAGAGAGAAGGGATGGAGTAAACAGGGGCGGCGAACAAATAATGTCGACTAATATCAGTGACCATTCTATAAATGGAAGGATTGCGAAGATCATGAGAGCGTACATAGTAGCAAAGGCAATGGGCATCACGGCGATCGGATAAGGATGGAACGTTTGCTTCTGCATAGAGGCTCTCAACAGGGGAAGAGCGAAAAGCACCAAGGCATAAACGTAATCCTTGGTGATGAATGGGGTTAAGGCTAGAGAGAGTAGCAGATGCTGCTGAATAGATCTGGTCACCATAATCAAGTTTTGATGAAATGAGGGTGGAATGTAGGCGAAGGAGGGTTCGACGATCAGCTCCCCATGAAAGATGAGCAAGGGTTTTAAGAAGGTTCAGCCGGCTGTGACAAGTTGCCTTCAGAGAGGTAATGTGAGGTTTCCAGGATAACCTATGGTCAAAGAGGAGGCCCAGAAACTTGACTGTATCACGTTCAGGGATACGGAAGCCATAGAGGTACAAAGGATGACCGGAGATGACAGAGCGTCTAGTGAAAGTAATTTGGTGGGTTTTAGTGCTGGAAAATTTAAACCCATGTGTGGTGGCCCAATTGGAAACATGGTCGACCGCATGTTGGAGAGAAACTGTAATGAGGTGACAGTGCCTGCACAGGCAATAGCAAAGTCATCAACATAGAGTGATGACCAAATATTTGATGGAAGACTAGAGGCCAAATCATTAATAGCATGGAGAAAAAGTGTTGTGCTCAGAACACATCCCTGGGGAACACCTTCAGCTTGGATCAAGTCCGGGGAGAGCACATTATTAACCCGAACACGGAAATGTCTATCAGTTAAAAAGTTCTTAAGGAAGGATGGTAGATTGCCTCAGAGGCCTAAGGAGTGGGCTTGGGCCAAAATATTATACCTCCACCAGGCCGCCTGGTCACAGACCGGGCCGCGGGGGCGTTGACCCCCGGAACTCTCTCCAGGTAAACTCCTCCAAGTTGTGTCATATGCCTTCTCAAGGTCAAAAAATATAGCAATAACTGAGTGGTTATTCGCAAAGGCATTACGAACATACGTATCCAAGCATAGTAAGGGGTCTATGGTAGAACGTCCCTTACGAAAGCCATATTGGCGAGTGGAGAGACTGTTGTGTGTCTCTAAATACCACACTAAACGTCTATTTACCAGGCGTTCCATCACTTTGCAAACTGCACTGGTAAGAACAATGGGACGATAGTGGGAGGCTTCATGTCCCGTAGTGCCTGGTTTGCGGAAAGGGAGAACAATGGCAGATTTCCACAGCTGTGGAAGAACTCCTTGTGACCAAATAAGATTGAAAAGGCGTAATAGGACTGCAAGGGCTGACTGATGTAAATGTTGTAGCATACGAATATGAATGTCGTCGGGCCCAGCTGCCGATGATCAGCAAGCTGAGTGTTGCCTCCAGTTCTTAAAGTGTAAAAGGCACATTATACTGTTCTTCTCTGAGAGAAGAAAAGTCCAAGGGTGCTAACTCTCTGGCAGACTTTGAGGAAAGAAACGAGGGGCATAGATGGAGCCCCTGAGAAATACAGACCAGATGAGTACCAATTTCATTGGCAACATCTAGTGGGTTTGCTATATCAACACCAGCAACCCGCAGAACAGGAGCCGGGTCAGGAGAATATATACCACTCAGTTTTCGTACTTTTTTCCAGACTGCACTCAGAGGAAGCAGAGGTGATGGTGGAGACAATCTCGCCAGCAAGTGCGTTTAGAGTCACAGATGACACGGCGAGCGATCGCACACTTCTGCTTAAAATCAAGAAGTCTCTCCGTGGTTCTATTGTACCGGTACCTGCCCCATGCAGCGCGTTTCAAACATACTGCATGAGCACAAGCAGGAGACCACCAAGACATGCATTTCTGAGAATGCCTGCCCGAAGTTTGGGGTATAGAATGAGAAGCTGCGGTTAAAACGGAGGACGAGGTGTAAAAGCTCATCAATGGAGGACGAAGAAGGAACCTCACTAAAAACAGTTGTGAGTAAAGGTTCCAATTTGCCTGATCAAATTGCCAGCGTGGGATACAAAGAGGTGGTGAATATGAAGGGAAAGTAAGAATGATTGGGAAATGATCGCTGTCATGTAAATCTGGGAGAACAGACCAGGTGAAGTCTAATGCAGCGGAGGAAGAGCAGACAGAGATCGATGCAAGAGAGAGAGTCCGAGGATCAAAATGGGTGCGAGTACCTGTATTTAAAACATGGAGGGGGTGGGTGGCAAGAAAAGCCTTTAACTGAATGCCACGGGAATCACAGTGAGACCCCCCCCCCTCAGAGGAAATGGGCATTAAAATTGCCAAGTAACAGGATCGGTGGTGGTAATGAAACAAGAAAGGCAATATCCGGAATAGATAATGCCCGAGAAGGAGAGAGATAAAGAACAGAGCTCATACCACCTATGCAAGTGGATACGGGCTGCTGTGTAATGCAGCGAAGTACGAACAAATAGCTGATGGTATGGAATATCAGTGTGTAGAAGAAGGGCATTTTCATTAAAGGTCCCATCAGGAAAAGGATCTGAATACAATAAATTATAGCCTGAGATGGGAGAGAGAACAGCAGAGTGTAATTTTGGTTCCTGTAAGCAAACACCAACAGGGGAAAACTGGGAGAGTAACATCTGAAGCTCTTCCCGATTACCCGAGACCACGTATATTCCACTGTAAATAGGCCATGATTGGCAATGATAAAGATGAAATCCGCAGGTAAGGGTTCCTACGGACTAGAGGGGTTAGAAAAGTTCACATGCGGAGGCAGCGGAAAACTTTCAAGCAGCGAAGGAACAGTGCACTGTGAAGAAATGAGTTGTGCAGATGGAGGAGAGGAGAGAAGCAGAGGGTGGATCAGTGTCCAGAGGGTGGATCAGTCAGAGATTGCTTCAAGTGTTTCGGAATTCAGAGACGTTGTAT